TGTCCTCTGGGGCTTCCCGGGAGGAAAGCAGGGCTCTAGGGAACACAGGGACAAAGGTTGCCAGTTCAACTGCCACACAATACAGGATAGATAGTCTCTATATAGTCTAGCGGTGGTTCGGGTGTTTGACTCCCAGATGAAAAGTTCTGGGTTTGAACCCTTAATGTCTACAGTCTAACCTGTAGGCATCCTAGCGTAAGATGCCCCCTAACCCCTACCTGCTCCTTAATGACCTGTATCTGTACTGTCTAACCCCTACCTGCTCCTTAATGACCTGTCTCTGTACTGTCTAACCCCTACCTGCTCCTTAATGTCCTGTCTCTGTACTGTCTAACCCCTACCTGCTCCTTAATGTCCTGTCTCTGTACTGTCTAACCCCTACCTGCTCCTTAATGACCTGTCTCTGTACTGTCTAACCCCTACCTGCTCCTTAATGACCTGTCTCTGTACTGTCTAACCCCTACCTGCTCCTTAATGACCTGTCTCTGTACTGTCTAACCCCTACCTGCTCCTTAATGTCCTGTCTCTGTACTGTCTAACCCCTACCTGCTCCTTAATGACCTGTCTCTGTACTGTCTAACCCCTACCTGCTCCTTAATGACCTGTCTCTGTACTGTCTAACCCCTACCTGCTCCTTAATGTCCTGTCTCTGTACCGTATAACCCCTACCTGCTCCTTAATGTCCTGTCTCTGTACTGTCTAACCCCTACCTGCTCCTTAATGACCTGTCTCTGTACTGTCTAACCCCTACCTGCTCCTTAATGACCTGTCTCTGTACTGTCTAACCCCTACCTGCTCCTTAATGACCTGTCTCTGTACTGTCTAACCCCTACCTGCTCCTTAATGTCCTGTCTCTGTACTGTCTAACCCCTACCTGCTCCTTAATGACCTGTCTCTGTACTGCCTAACCCCTACCTGCTCCTTAATGTCCTGTCTCTGTACTGTCTAACCCCTACCGGCTCCTTAATGACCTGTCTCTGTACTGTCTAACCCCTACCTGCTCCTTAATGACCTGTCTCTGTACTGTATAACCCCTACCTGCTCCTTAATGTCCTGTCTCTGTACTGTCTAACCCCTACCTGCTCCTTAATGACCTGTCTCTGTACTGTCTAACCCCTACCTGCTCCTTAATGTCCTGTCTCTGTACTGTCTAACCCCTACCTGCTCCTTAATGACCTGTCTCTGTACTGCCTAACCCCTACCTGCTCCTTAATGTCCTGTCTCTGTACTGTCTAACCCCTACCGGCTCCTTAATGACCTGTCTCTGTACTGTCTAACCCCTACCTGCTCCTTAATGACCTGTCTCTGTACTGTCTAACCCCTACCTGCTCCTTAATGACCTGTCTCTGTACTGTCTAACCTACCTGCTCCTTAATGACCTGTCTCAGTACTGTCTAACCCCTACCTGCTCCTTAATGACCTGTCTCTGTACTGTCTAACCCCTACCTGCTCCTTAATGACCTGTCTCTGTACTGTCTAACCCCTACCTGCTCCTTAATGTCCTGTCTCTGTACTGTCTAACCCCTACCTGCTCCTTAATGTCCTGTCTCTGTACTGTCTAACCCCTACCTGCTCCTTAATGACCTGTCTCTGTACTGTCTAACCCCTACCTGCTCCTTAATGACCTGTCTCTGTACTGTCTAACCCCTACCTGCTCCTTAATGACCTGTCTCTGTACTGTCTAACCCCTACCTGCTCCTTAATGACCTGTCTCTGTACTGTCTAACCCCTACCTGCTCCTTAATGTCCTGTCTCTGTACTGTCTAACCCCTACCTGCTCCTTAATGACCTGTCTCTGTACTGTCTAACCCCTACCTGCTCCTTAATGTCCTGTCTCTGTACTGTCTAACCCCTACCTGCTCCTTAATGACCTGTCTCTGTACTGCCTAACCCCTACCTGCTCCTTAATGTCCTGTCTCTGTACTGTCTAACCCCTACCGGCTCCTTAATGACCTGTCTCTGTACTGTCTAACCCCTACCTGCTCCTTAATGTCCTGTCTCTGTACTGTCTAACCCCTACCTGCTCTTTCATGACATGAATCTGAAATCACATTTTCAAAGTTAGGCCAAGGTACTTCCGTGGGTTAGCATAGTTAAAGGACCATGCTGGTCTGGGAGATTACCGTCATAACGTCTCTCCTGCTTCACTAAAACATCCGTTACCGATATAATTTGTCAGAATTGCTTTGTTGTGGCAATTCTGCCAAAGAGCGTTTAGTGTGCGCGCGGCTGCCATGAATGTAATCAGCGGCGGTACAACACTTTGAAACAGATGTTTTAGAGAAGCCAGGAGAGACGCATGGTCTGACCTCCCACACAGTGTTAACGTGAAACTGACACCGCAACTGTTCACAAAGTTCAGTTGGATTTTATTGATGCATATGCAGTTAGTTACTCGTAGCTCGGACTCACTTGTCTTCCCCTGCAATTAAGTACGCGAAGACAGGACTCGGACTCACCGACGTCGACAGTCGGTTGAAGTGCGTCTGACCGAGGTAAC